ACCAAGTGCAACCTGGTGAAACCAAAAAATCGGCCCGAAAAACTGCTCAGAGACTGTTTTGTCCAAAACCATGGTATAATCTCATTCAACAAGATTTTAACCGCTCCTTTTGATTCATTTGTTCTACATAGGAAAGCTTCAGGCCATCCAGAAAATGCGTCAGTCAAAACTAAGAGATAACAGGAACCCCCCCCTTTTCTTGGGAGCTCAGAGAAATTAATTTGCCAAATTTCACCTGGGAAATGCCCTTTGCTTATTGCCCCTTGGTGTATTTCTGTTCCAGTATTTCAGACAAAGTTCACATTGGGATGTGACTTGCTCTTCCCTGTTTCGTGTCTTCCTTGTCAGACTCTGCTCTTGTTGCTAGGGAAATCTCTTTCTACATATATATCTAAGATCTACGGGTAACATAATAGAATATAGCTCGTCATGATAACATAACATTACAGTTTGCAATTACAGTATTACAAATGTAATTTGATAAGCAAATTATCTCTTTTTGTCTTTGTTGACTATCACACCTACCTCCTATTCTTACTATTATAGAGTAGTTACATAAAGTTTTATCATTTCAAACAGCCTAGGTTCCCCCCACTTCTCTTCTGTCTCCCTTACAATGCTCCGTGCTAAAAGTCTTCCGCCCCCCCCCCGCTTTCTTTTGTTTACATAAGTCAGCTTTATGTTAATTGTCCACTGTTTGGGCAGCACCCTTTTTTCAAGCAGTTTACAATTTGCAAAGTCACACTTACATATCTAAATTTACTAACATGGCAAAATTTTATTTTATTTTGTCTTGTCTTTATTTCAATAGAACCCATTGAGATAATCACTTATAAATGGAAAATAAGTATGCAGGAATACATGCCAAAAAACCAGGAATAAGTCGAACAACATGATGCCTAAGGGGTTCATCTCCAATACACAAATGGATTACTCAAAACTATTAATTTTTTTCTACTTTTCCTCTTGTGCCCCACTTTGGAAAAACCAAATTATTGTCTTGGTTTATAGACAATGTGTGCCAGGAGGCGGGACCTCTGATGGAATAGAAACCTCTCCCTCCAAATTATGAAAATTTGAAATTATGAGATGTTTGAGTAAAGTATAGAAACAAATAACAGTTTTTACTAAAAACGGAGAACAAAACAGAACAAAACAATCAAAGCCACAAAACACAGTAACCACAGGGGTACAGGGAGAAAATGGTCTGCCTCTCCACTCCCTCCCCTGAAGAGACAGGAGACTGCCCGGTCATGTGGCTCTCCCCTCCCCCCAGCAAACAAAGGGAATGCAGGGAGGATGGCAACAAAACCTGGTTAGTTATTTCATTCCTGCTGGTTGTGTGAATTTGGCTCCTATGGTGACCTGTGTCTGATGCAGGGCTCCCCTCCGAGTCCCGTCAGCTTGCAGCATGGGGCTGGCAATGGGGCAAGCTTTTGACCTGGCATGGCTGCTACAGCGGTGGTTTTTCACCCCCCAGTGGTTGGCAGTGAGCAGAGATGGCGTGGGTCCAGCCAGCACTGTGCGGGAGCGAGGTGGCAGAGGTCAAAAGGCAGCACCGGTTGGAGCAGCAGGGAGCTGGCGTGGGGTGGTGGTGGGAAGCTGGCGGTTGAGCTGGGGATCAAAGGGCAGCAGCAGCAGCTGTGCCTGTGGTCAAAAAATGGTGGAAACAGTGGCTGCACCAGTGGGGGAAGCACCAGTATGCAAAGCAGTGCTGGCACCTGGAGCGCATGACAGGTGTCTTGGCTCCAATGGCGACCAGTGAAGGTGCAGGGGCAGCGGTGGCACAGGGACAGTGGCAGTTGGGGACCTCCTGGGTTCCCTTGCAGAAGTGAGAGAGAGCAAACCTGGACTGCTAACCTTTTTTATTTCCTCCAGTTCCTGCAGGATCCCCAAGCTAGGGATTCCGCCCCAGTTCACACAGTGCCTTCACCCCAGGGATCCCATCTCCCCCGATGCCAGCCCCCACCCCTCCTTCTCCTTGTTCCTCCCTTCAAAAATGCATGGTGGCATGGAGAAATTCAACAAGAAAATCTAAACCACAACACACATGTACTTTTTACATTGTTTTTTAATTTCTTTACAAAAGTCTTGTATGGTTTCAAAATTGTAACTTGCACCCAATGCAAATATAGGCATAATCACCTAGATGAAAAGTCTTGAAACAGAACTGCTTTATTTAACTAAGAAATGAAAGTAATACTTGACTAAAACCAGCAATATAGTCTTGCATTTTCATTAATAAAATATTGTCATATTAAACACAATTTGATTGCAAAGCAGATTACAATTAAGATTTTGTAGGAAATGAATAAGATGATTTTATTACAAGCAGGGGTTTCCATGGTTGCCTCGTGCCGAGATACCTGGAGACCATTTTATTTGGGGAGTTGGGGAGTCATTTTGTGGCCGAGGACTGGTGGGCTGCTTACTGTTCTGCTTACAGTTACCTAGTGCTGCTTACTGTTCTGCTTACAGGGTTGCTTACAGTTACTTACTGTTACTTACAGTTACGGTGTGAAGGCGGGCCGGAAAGTACGTAAGGCAGTAAGACCAGTCTGGGCTCACTGCCAAGGGACCATGCTGCCGGGGGCAGGGAAACAACATGATAGGTTGGTTAAAACAACCAATGGACTGCAAGAAGAAGACTATATCACCTTTTAAGGAAGAAAAGAGCGAGGCTTGGCATGGGAGGAGCAATGGAGTGGTTATGTAAATCAAAGGGTCTTAAAAGGGCTCTTCCCTCCCATTTGGGGTGTGCTCGGATCTGGTCACGAGTCCGGTGCACCCAGCGTGCTGTTTAAATAAAGTTCTTTGTTTCACTTTATTTGACCATCTCCGAAATTTTAATTAGAGATATTTCTTACAATTTCAGTGAAAAGACTACCATTTTATATGTTAGAAATTTACCATTCAGTAAGGTTTGCAAGTTAAGCGCCAAATATACTCTACCAATCAAATCTACAGTATAGTATGTGCTTAGTGCTAATAATGGAACTCTTCTCTGCAAGTGTGTAGTATACATTAAAATTTATGTAGCCTCTACACAGCTTAATTTATTGTAAAGTTTCAGCAGTCCAATTCATTATTGGTTTTGCATGTGTGGGGGTAGCAGGGACCCTGCGGAAGAAATGGCGAGGAGGCAAATTGATTTGGAAATTTCTCTTTGCTCAATAAACCTGCTGTGGCTAAAGAAACATGTTGAGAGAATATGCGAGAACAACCACCTTTTGTCCTTCCCGTGGAGCTGCTTCTTTGTGAGACTAAACAGGGAACTTTCTTATCTGAGAAGATGCCAAAGAAGCATTCCTTCCCACAAGTGGGGGAAGGGAAATGAAGGGGGAAAAGGTAAATGGCTCAGAAAGCAGCACCTCGAATGCCCAAGGGCCCCTTTGATATGCACAGCTGGGAGGCCCTGGGGTGTGTGTGTGTTTTTTGCCACCCAGCTGCTGCAAGTTCATGGAACTGTAAGTGTCCCCGAATAAACTTCCATTCCTGCTTGAAAGTCCATGGCTCAGCCTTCTCATTTTACCTGCATGAACATTGGAACTGACACATGAATTAGTTGAAGCAAGTTTTATTGTTTTAATAGAGGATTTGAAATAGATACTGGTATTCAAAATGGTCATATAAAATTCCCACTTGTAGGTTAATGAATTATTTTGCCCCAATACTTTTGATTTCAGCATTAAAAAAAACACTTGATAATACAAATGCATTAAAGATTTTCGAAATTAGTGGTTTCCTTTAAAAAACATTACTTATGTGTCACTTTGTGCTAAGGCTGTGGCAAGCAGATTAAATGCTAAAAATGGTGGATTTAGATAAAAATTTAAACTAATAGAAATGGCAGTACTTGTCATCCTGCTGCTATAAAATACCCTTCTAAAATGCTATTTCTCCCAAAGTACTATGTTTACATTCACATCACAGAACCCTCAAAGCACTTAAATTCCAAAGGCTTGCAGTCAAAGTGAAAGGAAATGCTGCTTGCTTTTATCATCTTCTGTGATTTTTCAGGATTTTTGTCTTTGGTGACAATAAAGTTACTATCTCAAAGTTTCAAAGTCCTGCATGATGCATCTCTCTTTACTACAGCTGCATTTATTGCAATTACCCCAGGAGGAAGTAAACCAGTATTTTAAACCTCTTTTAAAACAATCTCCAGTTTTGCAAATCTGCTTTCTAAATTCCAGTCAAAGGAATTTTTATGAAGTTGTATGTATTATACAAACACTGTGCTTTCTTGATGAAGAGCCAAAATTTGAAAAAGGAATTGAGTCATGTGAATAACAAAGTGTATAGGCACAGGTTTTTTTTTTAAAGGCACAAATGTTATACAGTTCATATAAAAATAAATTAAATCTACAGCATTGATTCAAACAATCACAATACCCATAAAATTTCCTAACTGCAGAAGTAAATCTCTTCTGTCTTTTGCAATTTTGTAACACATTGCACTTAGGAAAAAAACCCTATATAAAACAACTTACCTGTTAATAATATACGATACACAGGCAGTAAGTTACATTTTTTTTATACTTCTCTAACTCAGCTGGTTTTATGGCATGAGTGGATGGAATAACTATGTCAGACTTTGCCTCTTCTTTCTTTTCAAATTGGCAATTGAAGGATCTGAAAAATTAATACTGCTTATGGAAAGATGAAATAATTCTTACTTGCTTTCCCATATTTTTAGGTTCAACGTTTACAGTATAACATACAATTTCATACTTTCAGTGCAACTATTGATTATTACTTTGACTTCGTCTATAAATTTACTAATGATCATTTACAGAAGTGTTAATTTCAGTGCTATTATAAAGTAATAAAAAGTTTGCAAAATGACTTTTAAAAGTGCATTTTCTGTTCTGATGATTAAACCTCAAAGTAGGTCAACATTTTAAAAAAATTAATGCATGTTAAAATAGCGTTTGAAAAGTAGAGAGGGCAGAGTGAACTTCTTGCACTCCTTTGATCCAATGACTTTCACATGTTAATCAGCAGTCTGCCATATACCATCCTGAAAAAGAAAGGTAGGGTTTTTGCAGTCAGTAGATAAAACAGATTTTTTCAGTATTTTCCTGCGAGCAGTTTGACTAACTATGGAAAACAAAAAAAGTAAAACAGTTTTCAGCCACATTTTCTGAGGAAAAGTAATTATTTATGCATCACTTATTTAACAGTTTTATAATTTATAATTTAGCACTATATAATATATCATATTAACTTGAATATATAAGCATGTTGGTATCTTACCAGTGGCAAATCTCTTCTTAAGGAGAGAAAGTCGATAGCCAGTGCTTACTAGCTCTACATCTATTCCTGAAAGGGTGCTTCCTTCACAAATGAATTGCACTGCAAGTGTTGCTGGTTTACTAGGTCCTTCTGAAAGTTCAAATTTTGCTCTGAGTGATCCAGAACCTATAAAAATAACAAAACTGAAAGGCTGGTTGTTTCGCAAGACCAAGGCAATCTCCCAAAAATTTTAGTAGTAAGGAGTAGAACTCAAATGGTGATCTTTAAGACCTATTTCTAGTGGCAGTTCTATATAAATTTTCAGAGGACATGAGAGTACAACTCTTTTTTCCAATACTCTGTTTAAGACAGTGACTAGTGAATAAATTAGAGGGAAACAATACACATTTCTACAAGATTATACTCATAGAGGAATGTGTATATCTGACAGCCTGGTAGTCTCTTATTACATTAAATACCTGATTGTTCCCTATAACCATCAGTTATGCTTCCTGGTTTATCTTGTATGTAGTACTTTCCATTAGCAGATTTTAAAGTACATCAGAATATTTAAATGTTGTCACAATCTGCCTGGAGGAATGCACATGAACAAAACCATCAGAAGAAATGGAGCTGAACGGTAATGTACCAAGAGGAAAGCAATTCTTATTTTTCAAATAAATACAAGGTCTGATTAAATACTGTCCTGGTTGGAACGGCTGGGACCGGTTCATCACTGGATGGGTGTAACCCAAAACTGTGTATTCTATGGCCTTCCATGCCATTTCCCAAAAACTGTTGTCAGTAGAGGCCTATGTTCCTGTCCTCATACCCTTTTATGGAATTCCCCACTCTGATACCCTTTTATGGAATTCCCCCCTCTGAGGGAGGGACTGAGCATCCTCATGCCCTTTTATGGAATTCCCCACTCTGAGGGAGGGACTGAGAACTCCCGCCTGAACTGGAGAATATATAAACTGGGAGTTTCGGAACCTTTCCACCACTCGTGGGATCCAGAGGAAGACTGCAGACCACCGCTCTCAACTAGACTACAGACCACCGCTCTCAACCAGACTGAGACCACCACCCTCAACTGGACTGCAATCACCACTTCTGACCAGACTGCAGCAACTCTCCCACCAGCAGGTTTTTCCCCTCTCCCTTTACTTTGGACTCGGGGGGGGGCAAGGAACACCACTTTTGTTCATACCCCAGGGTGCTGGGTTATACATTTGGGTTTTGCAGGTTAAAACCAATTGTCTGTCTGTATAATTGTACTTATTGCATTATTTTAATAAATTGTTATTCTGACTTATAAATATCTCTTTTGAATTGAGTTCATTTCCCCTGCTGGTTAACTTTTAAACCAGCACAAATACATTTCCCAAAACACAGTTGCTTCTTCATAGACAATGGCGAAGTTTACTTCAGTGCCATTATAAAGTAGCAATAGTTCAAAATTACTTTAAGTACACCTTTGTAGTCAATGCAAGACAAAACCCCCCAACATTATTGCTGGTCTCCTTTTCGAGTTCCTAAACAAGACTTTTTTGTCCTTACAAAATATGCTGGGAAAAAAGGATTTAAACAGTGAATTAATGGAATAGTGAAAGTCAAGTATTGTTATTTATTTAAAACAACTAGTCAGTTGGAACTTCTAAGTGAGGAGGAAAGCTAGTAACTGAAATTTTACTAGGGTAAAAGTAGGAATTGATGAATGAAATTGTTTAATGCAATGGCTTGTTCTTGGCTTAAAGTCCATTTCATTTTTTCAGTAGGTCTGTCACAGTTTGGATAAATGGGAACTTCTTTTCACTGTCAGTATGGAAACTCGTATTCAAGTGCTTCAAAAAAACATTGCATCTGCAAAGGTTGCAAGGGCTGTGACATCAACTGGACCTCAGGGAAAGGCAGCTGGGCAGAGAACAACTATTGGTACCTTACAAAATGCTATATAAATTACAGCTCTGAGCAGATGTACATAGATTTTTTTTTTCCTGGAGTTGTATATGGTCAATATAAAAAACCCTAAAAATGTTGGTCGAGAATCATCTATAGTTGAGTCTATCTCAGCACAGGACTCTTGGATTTTTGGTTTTTTCTTTTCCCCAGTTCTTCCACTTACCTCTTTCTACTTTATCTCAATTGCCAGTGTATGGAAAATCAGAACATAGATATTAAATGTATTTCCCTTTCAAGAACTGCTCATTTCCTTGCTCAGTCTAAACTCTGTTTTAGTGGCACTAGCTGCTTTCAAGGACCTTCACTATTTTGCTTTTTATAATTAGCCAATATTTTTATATCTCACTGTTAATGGAATGTCTCAGGAGGAATTTGATAAGAAAGTGAACTGATAAACAGGATATGGCAAGTGTAAACAGGCATGAGGGCATAGAGGCTAAAATGATTACCTTTTTACTGTTATCATTTTTCTGTACAAGAAAACAAAACAAAAGACTTCAACTTGCCTCCATTCTCAGACTTCTCTGAAATGCTAGATATTTTCCAATAAGCTTTCATCTGATCCGCATTCCTGTAAGAGAATGGAAGGTTAGTTATAAGCACCAACTTTTAGAATTTTTTTCAGAATATTATTTCCCAAGATTTACACTGGTACCTTACAGACCATGCACCTATAACCTATATCTCTCAGTGGAGGTTTATAAAAATATTTCATCATTTTAAGGTGAGTTTGTGGAAAACTATACAAAACAAAAAGGAAAAAAGAAGGGTGTACCTGCATTGCCCCTGAGCTTGCAGCAGACCTCAGACATACATACCACCCTTTTATACAGTTAACACTGTTCTATGCCCAGGTTATGGCTGTACTTCACAACTCAAAACCCTCTGTGGTCTCAAAAGGTAAGGGCAGGTGTCATAGATTCTAAAAATCCAAGGGGAAATTTTCCTTCCCCTGCCCCACTGTAAGAAGAGAGAGTTTGAACGGGGAGGGGGAAGGGGGGCAATGAGCTTTACAAAAGACGACCTAGTTGGCAGAACTGCATTCCCGACTGATGGTCCATCTGAGACTGGAGTGAGGGGGGAGGAGTTTTGCACTGTTGCGGCCCTCCTCACAAAGGGCAGAACAGTTTGGGTTTCTCTATGATTGAGACGGGGGAGTCTGTGTGCTTTGGAAAAGCTTTGAGGCTGTTTTTCTTGCTCTCGACGTGGTCATTTCTGACCACTTGCCTCAACTTGCTTGCACACTGCCCCTGCCTCCAGCCCGAACCTGCTGTGATTTCATCAGAGTTTTGTGCTCATTGGGAGAAAAGGAGGAGCCTTGAAACACCATCAGCCGAGGACAACAGTGAGTTCCATGGGGGTGGACTGTCTTTCTTTTCCCCTTCTTCCATTGGAGGAGGGTCCCCATCTTTTCAGCTTCTCCCATGATCTGAGACCCCCCCGCATGGTGACCGCCAGAGCCCAACAGCGCCCCCTGCAGGCTACCACAGAGCACTGCAGGCTCTGCACCTCCAGTGATCCAACAGCGCCCCCTGCAGGCTACCACAGAGCACTGCAAGCTCTACACCTCTAGTGATCCAACAGCACCCCCTGCCAACCTTGATTAGAACCACGCTAGAGGACAGAGAAGTATTCAGACTGTGTCTTTTTTTTGAAGGGGACTTTTGGGTCCAGGACTATTGTCTAGTTGTTTTTGTGTGAGGTTACTGTCTTTGCCAACATACATATATATTTTAATAAAGGATTGTTATTTCTTCCTTTTTCCATACTTCCTCGATTGGAGCCCCTTAATTTTGGATTTACAATTGCTGAGAGAGAGGAGTTTGGTCTATCTCATACCTCATCCTCCTTAGCAAACATTCCAGTCTCTTCAAATGGAGACAGCAGGCCAAACATGCTGGAAGCAGTTTGAAAGCTGAGTCTTTATACTTCATGATGATGGTATGAGGGGGGGCAATATTGTTTACTATCCCCTATGTGAGACTCCTGGCTGTGTGAATTTTATTCCATTTCCATTCTAGTAAAACTAGTTGGCAGAAGTGGTTCAGGGCTGAAGTTAACTTCTGATGCTGTGAAGGGCCAGAAAAGCAAAGGGCACCAAGCACCATAGTCTCTAAGCTGACAGGGCATTTTAACTCTGACCACTTCGCAACTGTTCCATCAAAGTCAAGTGTCTTGGTTTGAAATTGCCCCCCTGGGAGCCCGGGGACCTAGAGGTGATTGGGTCCCAGGGCAGTCTCCCCTGAAGGACCAATCACCGCTCGTTTTGTTCGCTCCTGTGAAAAATCAGATATACACAACCACCGGAAGTTGTTGGCAGAGAGAGTCTGTCTGCTGGTGTGTCGGAGTGTTGTGTGTAAGAGAGGATTGGAGATACGAGGGGTGGCTAGGGGGCCACTGAACCAAGGGGTCCCCCTGGCTTCCTCAGCCCTAGTTCGACTAGGGCTGGGGCAGTTTCCTCGCTGGTTCTCCCCCTCCACTGTAAAGGCAGTTGGAGCGGACTCGGAGGCCAGCCAGGGGAGTTGCAAATATTTACTCCCCTAGCAGGCATGCTTGGTACTGGAGCCGAGCCAAGGGACAGGCAAGCATGCTCGGAGCTTGGAGAAGCAGCTGCGACTCGTTGCAGAGCTGGAAGAATTCCAAGCGAAATTGGAGACGGGCCAGAGGGCTCGGGAGTTGCCCCTGCAGTGATTTAAATGGGGGGCAGCCAAAAACTGATTGAGGAAAAATGCATTCCCGAAACACGTGCACGTGATGAGCTGAGCTGAACTACAGCAGCTACGGAACTAAGAGAGAGAGAGAGAATCACACAGCAGAGATTGGCATGGAACCAAGAGAGCACAGACTCAAACTATTTTCTTGGACTTCGTAAGGAAGAAAGGACTTCAGTAAACAGCTGGAGGTTAGTGGGGGGAGTGAATCAGAGGAAACCTTTTCTCCCTGAACACTCCCATGAGAGAAAGACTGCTTACCTATCAACCTAAGGGCTCCTCCTGGACTGAATTAAGGGAGAGGCTTAGAAGGGTGATAGACGTGTGTAATATTGTATATATATAGTTGCTTTTATCTTGTTCAATATTTATTTGTGTAGAATAAATGTATATATCTTCCCTTCCCTTTGCCCCTACAGAGGTGTGTTTGCCTGAAAGTTTCTCTTCGGTGTTGAGGTAAAATTGTGGGAAGGGGTGGGAGAAGCCTGGAAATTGGATTTTGAATTTTTGTGGTGGTTCAAACCACCATATCAAGTCAACAACTTAAAGCTATGAGCAGCATGAAGTGCTGATAGGTTTGAAACTGTCTGGCAGGAGTGAAATGCTCACACAAGTAGCATAGATGGTAGTGGTTACTTGCAGGAGATTGAATCAGAAAACATTTATTCTTAAAAAAACCCAACCCACTAGACCAAGCATATAGCAGGAGACACATACTAGAGCTGCCTGGGACATGACTGTATTTTTTTGTCAGGTTTCAAGGCTCAAAATTCTAGCCTTGTGTAGTTGCCTAGGTAAAAGAAAGAATACATGAGGCTCAAGTCCCTTACTCTGATGAATCTGAAATGAAACTGTCACTAAGTTTTGAGTCTTTCTAGCTAACACTAAGTGTTCTGGGTGGACATTCCTGCCCTCACTCAGGTTTCATTACTGAGAGGTTTGTGGAAGAAGCCTGAGCAGGGAGGGGAGAGATTGGCTTCATCAAATATTCTAGTCAAGTTGTGGAGGCAAGATAATGAACCTGCCCTTGCTCAGAATAAGCTTAAGGAGATTTGGTTAAAAGTATTGTTCCCTTGAAATACCAAGTCAAGAAAGATTCAGTCTTGGCAGGATTTTTTCCACTTAAAATAATACTGTATTACCACTTTGTCCAATTAACACATTTAAATGTACTGTCTCCAGAAACATCAGAACCTTTCTGATAAATACACCAGGTTTATTTTATTTCTGAACCTCACTTTATAAGGTAAACTGATCTATAAGTAATAAGGTTAACAAAGCCTGACTTCCCACAACTTAGTATTCTTTTCCCCTCTTAACCTTCATGTTAAAAAGACCTTCTTCTTCCTCTTGAAAATAAACAGTCCAGGAATTACATTACAGCTTGGCAAGTACCTACGTGCTGCCAAACCATAGGCACAGTGATTGAATTCTGCTCACCTTTTGCTCCAAGGATATTGCACTCTGCCTAGCCCTGCTACCCCATGCTTGTTTTCACAAACTTGTAGAAACATAATTATCTGAGACACATCTTACTTTCAAGTGCTGCTGTAAATGGTCTGCAGGCTTAGAAGGTGGGGCCAGATAGCTATGGGTCAGATAATAATCAGCATGACACTTGAATTGAGAGACAGTGCTACCCGGCTTATGAAGAGCTCCTCAGCTACTGAAGTTTGTTTTAAAACTATTTCAATTATAAGCTAATTTTTGGCAAAAAGAAAGCAAACATTGGAAATTTCAGAAATGCTTATATTCAGAAAGGTTTGTATTATTATACAGTTGGAATGGGTGCATATAATCTCATTTTAGTCAATGTGAATTGGCTGTACATGATCTGCTTTGGGCCAGAAAATGTCCTAAACATCTGGTACTATGCATTTTATCAAGAGGAAAAAAATTCCCTGTTTCTTCCAGTGACATTTTTCAGGTTGACACTAATGAATACTCTGAAACGAATTTGAAATAATAAAAAGTATTACTATTACCATTTTGCGGGTGGAAGTGATTGCATGTTTATTACTCCTCCATCTACTGGTACAATAACCTGCACATTAGACAGCATACTAGGCACATTCATAGACTCTGGATTATACTTATAATCCACTCTCACATCAGTAGTGCTAGCACTACATTTCCAGTAAGTTGCAAGATTCAAGGGAGTGGACTGGATGCCATTTGAAGAGACCTGTAAAAGAAGAAACCATTGAAAGCATCTGTCATAGGTTTACTTGCTCTAAAAATCCAAGCAGAAATTTTCCTTTCCCCTGTCCCACTGTAAAAGAAGATGTTGAACGAGGGAGGGGGAAGGGGTAATTGCCTATACAAAAGAACTAGCTGGCAGACCTGCATTCAAGGTTGATAGCTTTCTCTAAGGCTGGGGGGCTGGGGGGGGAGGAGTTTTTCTCCCCTCCTCTCTTTGGAAAGAGGCACTTCACTTTCTGCCTTAACGGAGGCAAGGTGTGTGTGTGTTGGAAAAGCTTTGAGGCCGTTTTGCTCTCGACCTTGTCATCTGGCTGCTCTCCGGCCTCAGCTTTCCTGCGCGCTGCTCTGTCTCCAGCCCAAATCTGCTCAGATTTCATCAGAGAGTTTGTGCTCATCGACGAGCAAGGGGGAGTCCTGACTACAGCCAGCCGCAGACAGCATGAGTTTAGGGGGAAAGAAACCACCCTTCTTTCCCCTTTTCCCCTTCCCCTCCTCGGTGAGGGGGAGATCTCCATTTCGGCTTCTCCCGCGAGCTGGGGCCCCCATGCGGCGACCACCAGAGCCCAACAGCGCCCCCTGCCAGCCACCACGCAGCAACTGCAGGCTCTGCACCTCCAGTGATCCAACAGCGCCCCCTGCCAACTGTGATTAGAATCGCGCTAGAGGACAGAGAAGTATTCAGACTGTGTCTTTTTTTTGAAGGGGACTTTTGGGTACAGGATTATTGTTTAGTTGTTTTTGTGTTCTTTTGCTGGTTTTGCCAATATACATATATCCTTTAATAAAGGGTTGTTATTTCTTCTTTTTTTCTATACTTCCTCAATTGGAGCCTCTTAATTTCAGATTTACAATTGCTGAGAGAGAGGAGTTTGGTGTACCTCATAACTCATCCTCCTTAGCAAAACACTTCAGTCTCCTTAAACTGAGACAGCATCTTAATAAAAATATTTCTATTTTGGGTAGAATTAGGGAAAGATGGTAATGAGTATAACTCTAAATACTGACAAATGACCAACAGAACAATTGACCTCTGAGCCCTTAATCTCAGATTTCTGAAGACTGTTGTAGCCTAAAGTAATTCCTGGTTTGTTTGGGTTTTTTAATTAAATAATTAAAAAAGGGTTTGAAGTCTCTCTGGGCCATGAGGCTCCTTCCTGTTCTGGTCAAAACAGTTTTGTTTTAGTCTTCAACTAGACCTTATGACACTGACCATCACTCTCTGGGCCTGGCTGTTCAGCCAGTTTTCAATCCCCCTTGCTGTCTGATAATCTAGCCTATACTTCATCAGCTTCCCTATGAGGATGAGTGACAAAAGCCCTCCTGAAGTCTAGGTAGACAATATCCACTGCTCTCCCCTGATCTACCAAGCCAGTCATTTCATCATAGAAGTTTATCATATTGGTCAAGCATGACTTTCCCTTGGTGAATCCATGCTGACTACTCGCGATGACCTTCTTGACCTTCATGTGCCTGTAAATGGTTTCCAGGATGAGTTGTTCCTTTATATTGTGAGAGGTGAGAACATTATGCATTCTCATATATTACAGTTGATACGTTACAGCATCAAAAAATATGCAATTACAAAATCAAAATAGACATAATTACAAACTCAAACAAACCCCCACCAAACCCCCTAAATTCAAGAAAAACTTAACTTTGTTAACAAACAGTTACAGTGTTTGAAGCTTGCACACATGAATTGGACTGAAGTGTGAGTAAACTGAAACAGGTCATGAATGAACATGAAGGCATAACATGAATTCACTCAGCCTTGGCAGTGACATACCCAGAACTGGCTTAGATGAGGGATGACAGTTCATCTGCATGCAAACAGGCAAATAACAATTCTTATAATTTCTGTATAGATATGAAATCTGCCAGAGTTCCTTAAAAAATTCCAAAGGGAAAAAAGTGTTTACCTGATACTTTAAAACATCCACATTATAATAGGATGCAGATGGATTGTGCTCAGATAATTTCTTGAGGTAGACAGTTATGGCTTGCATGTTCATCCAAAAATCCTTACTACTAGAGTCACTTTGTGACTGATCACTACAAAGAAAAAGAAAGGTAGGAATCAAAAAACAACACTGAGTTTTATTATTTTGTATGTCTAAAAATTAAGACTAGATCTTTCCCCTTCTTCACTATTCCAAGCAAGAATTTGTTCTAATAACACATAATTGTACCTTCCTAAATATTAAGACAAATTAACTGTTTGTTGTAGCTGGTAAAAATTCTCCTTCCAGGTTGTCAAGCAGTGAGTTTCCTCCACTGATGATCTGCATCCCAAGATGGAGCGAATGCCAAATTTGGATTTTACATTTAATAAAACACAATACAATCAGGTGCCATGAGAATGTGTAGGAGGTGGGAATGAAAGTGGTGCTTGAAGAGGAATGTTATACAATTTGGAATAAATCCTAGAATCATAATTAGCTTTTGTTATGGCAGAACTTCGCTAATGCATTGAATTAAGATTTGTGCTGTATGTGTTACCCCACTTTGACATATTTATAGAGAGTGGAAGCTTTCAAAATTTTTTCAGTTAAAAGTGATTTTCAAATTATTATTAAAAACTGTTTCTCAGATACTTAGAGTTGCATTTAATCTTAGTAGCAATTTATTATATAATTTCTATATGTAGGCAAGAGTGCACGACTACAGAAGCAAAATCCTGGTTGGGAGCTACTGGAGCATGAAAAGGTGTTTTGCAACTCAAAAATATTTTCAGTCCTAGTGACATCAGGTTTATTTTTTAATAAGGATGAAGCTTTTAAGAAAACTGATTCAGAATCAAAATTCAAATAACTTCAGAATCAAAGAGCTCCACAGGTCATCTGTGGATACATAGAGGAACTGCATCAATCCCTAAGGAGGCATGCAGAATGTGCATGTAGAATGAAAGCTGAAAAGAAGCATCTGGAACACAGTAAATATAACTGCAATGGGTTGAATGTGCTAGAACAGTGATTTATACACCAGTAGTCTGTCCAATTTACTTAGAATTTGGTTGTTAATACGGTGTTGTCATTCATGCAATTTCCATTTTCAGTAAAATATATAAACACATAACAGAGACCTTCCAAAATATAAACAAATGAAACCAGTAACAAAATCCTTTTACTTTCTCCTTCAGAAATTCTGACATCTCCACAAATATCAGTCACATTAAAAAGTTCCATCTCTATAAATACTAAGCAAATGATAATCATTGTAGTATATGGTGAAAAGTCAAATTATTACCATATGGATTTAACTTCATAAATATCCAGTACATGCATCCTTTCTAATTAGAGGTGAAGCATTACAGTACTCAGACAAGAATGCTAAACATTTTGACTTTTTTCCAAAATATAATTTTTCAGTATAATTCACTGTCAGATACAGCTCTTCTATAATTTCAGTTATAAACTAAAAAAAGAATGACAAATTTAATTTTGAATTAATATTTCATTACATTATGAATTATCAAAATAAAATTAAATACTAAAGAATGGATGTATGTGGTTTCAAAAATTTTTTCCAATACATGAAATAGAAACTGCCCAGCTGAAACAGGTGTCTGCTTTTTTTTTTTTTTGGAAAAGATGTACAAATGCTGTGATTTCAACAATTTTTCTACTCAACCAACAGCTTTTCTTCTTAAGAATTCTCCTAAGCATGCTGCTATATACTTGAGAGATAAAGTTATGTAATGGATTTGATCTACCATAGAAATTACACAGCTTAAAACATACACTAATAACTGACAAATGAAACCATTGTTATTACTGTATAAAGAAATCCATATGACGTTTCCTATTTTTGACAATTTTTCTCTGTAGTTTTATTGTTCATATAGTTTGATTAGAAATTTTTTTTGTTTTGTTCTTGTTTTCAAATAGTTTATTAAACCATTTTATTTATAAAATGTGTGTAAAAAACAGCTACATTTGCAAATTATTTTTTATGGTTCCTGTTATATTCAGCATAAGTTTCAAGTCCAGTAATCACTGAAATTTTTAGTGGTAGCAGTAAAAAGAAACTGGGCTAAACAAGATTAATTAAGGAAATTAAGTTATGTATAAGCAAATCAACAAGACTGTAGAGAATTCTGATTTACATATATAACAATTCACATTTTAAAAATCATGTAGTTTGCTATTATATTAAAGAAAAATACAAAACCTGTATACAAGTTGAGCATTTGGAAGAATCTGGTCTAGTTTGTTTGTGTTTTTTACCCTGAAGCAGAGCGCAGCTGGAGATGGGTTGCTGGTGAAGACTTTAATAATCCCACTTGGGAACGATAATGTCATATCACCAGTAATCTTCACAATACATCTAGAAGAGAATGAAAACATCAGTTTTATTGCACCTCATTAACTGTCTAGTTTTAATACTAATTTTAAATCAAACATACTTTTACAATCTGATGAGCTGATTTCGAAACAGAAAATCGGCAGACTCGGCAATGTGCACATACAGCCCAGAAAGCCAACTGTGTCTGGGACTGCATCAAGAGGTGTGACCAGCAGGTCAAGAGAGGGGATTCTGCCCCTCTACTCCACTCTTGTGAGACCCCACCTGAGTACTGCATCCAGCTCTGGGGTCCCCAATACAAGAAAGATGTGGACTTGTTGGAGTGAGTCCAGAGGAAGCCATGAAGATGCTCTGAGGGTTGGAGCACCTCTGCTATGGAGATAGGCTGGAAGAGTTGGGGTTGTTCAGCCTGGAGAAGAGAAGGTTCCAGAGAGACCTTCCAGTACCTAAAGGGGACTGGTCATAAGCTTAAGTAGAGTAGGTTTAGATTAGATATTAGGAAGAAATTCTTTACTGTGAGGGTGGTGAAGTACTGGAACTGGTTGTCCAGAGACGTGGACTCCCCATCCCTGGAGGTGTTCAAGGCCAGGCTGTATGGGGCTCTGAGTAACTTGGTCTAGTGGAAGGTGTCCCTACACATGGCAGAGGGGTTGGAACTAGATGATCGGTTTTTTCAAATATATATAATGACAAAAGACAATGTAGAAATAACATTGTCCCATTACAGGATGAGGATGGTCACCTCACAAACAGGGACAGTGACAAGGCAGAGGTGTTTAATGCTTTCTTTGCCTCTTTCGTCAACACAGATGAGGGACCAAGGGGGTCTCAGTGCCCTGAGCTGGAGGACCATGACTGTGAGAATGATCAACTCCCAGTCGACCCTGAACTTGTGAGGGATCATCTGCTTCAGCTGGATCCCTATAAATCAATTCATGATGGGATTCATCTGAGAATTCTCAAAGAGCTGGCTGATGTCATCACAGAGCCTCTCTCAATGATTTTTGAGAGATCTTGGGAATCTGGAGAGGCCCAGGCTGAATGGAAGCTGATGAACCTTGCCTCGATTTTCAAGAATGGTAAGAAGGAGGACCCCAGAAACTACAGGCCACAGTCTCACTTCAGTGCCCAGTAAAATCATGGAGAAGATTATTCTGGGAGGTATTGAAAAACACCTGAAAGACAATGCAGTCTTTGGTCACAGCCAGCACGGCTTCAATGACATGAAAGTCCTGCTTGTCAAACCTGGTTTCCTTCTACGACAGGGTTACCCACCTAGTTCATCTAGGAAAGCCAGTAGATAAAATGTTTTCAGACTTCAGCAAAACTTTTGATACTATCTCTCACAGTTTCCTTCTGGACAAAATGTCTAGTATACAGCTGGATAACCATGTTATGTAGTGGGTGAGCAACTGGCTCACAGGTCAGGCAAAAGAGTTATAGTGAATGGGGTAACATCAGGCTGGTGACGGGTCAGTAGTGGGGTTCCACAGGGCTCCATCCTCGACCCAGTTCTCTTCAACATCTTCATTAACAACTTGGACGTAGGACTCAAAGGAATATTAAGTAAGTTTGGTGATGACACTAAATTGGGAGGAGCTGTCAACTCCCTCAAGGGCAGAGAGGGCCTGCAGAGAGACCTCAACAAATTAGAGAGATGGGCAATCACCAACTGTATGAAGTTTAACAAGGGAAAGTGCCGGATTCTGCACCTGTGACAGGGCAACCCTGGATGTTCATACAGACTGGGGAATGAGATGCTGGAAAGCAGTGCCTCAGAAAGGCACCTCGGGGGTCCTGGTCTATGGGCAAGTTGAATATCAGTCAGCACTGTGCCCTGGCAGCCAGGAGGGCCAACCGTGTCCTGGGGTGCATCAGGCAAAGCATCGCCAACCAGTCAAAAGAGGTGATTATCCCGCTCTACTCTGCACTGGTGTGGCCTCACCTCGAGTACTGTGTGCAGTTTTGGTCACTGCAAGATAAGAAAGACATTAAGCTATTAGAGAACATCCAAAGGAGGGCCACAAGGATGGTGCAGAGTCTGGAGGGGAAGGCATTGAGGAGCGGCTGAGGTCACTTGGTTTGTTTAGCCTGGAGGAGGCTGAGGGGAGACCTCATTGCAGTCTTCAACATCCTCATGAGGGGAAGCAGAGGGGCATGTACCAATCTCTTCATTTTCATGACCAGTGACAGGACTCAAGGTAATGGCATGAAGCTGAGTCAGGGGAGGTTTAGGTTGGATATCAGGAAAAGGTTCTTCACCCAGAGGGTGGTTGGGCACTGGAACAGGCTCCCCAGGGAAGTGGTCACAGCATCAAGCCTGTAAGAATTCAAGAAGCATTTGGACGCTTTCAGGCACATGGTGGAATTCTTGGGGTGTCCTGCACAGGGCCAAGATTTGGAGTCAGTGATCCTGATGGGTCCCTTCCCACTCAGCATATTCTATGATTCTATGACCTTTAACGTTCCTTCCAACTCTAACAATTCTATGATTCTATGATTCTATGATTCTAAAATCAATTTCAAATGATGGCAATGTTGCACTATGACAACCTATTATCACTTTTAACTTGGAAATCAGAGGAAATAAGAGAAATGTTTAGCTGGTTAAGCATACAGTAGTATGGGTGGTTATTTTTCAGGCTTTGAAAACATGGCACAGCTATGCTTTGCAAAGGCCTAAGTAGCATATCAAGCAATGTGACTGAGGGAATGAGGTACTCTTAAGCTGCCCAAATTTACATATAGCACCTACCTGACTATAATAGAAACCCTTCTCATTTTCAGTGTTCTCACTGAACACATTTTTGTAAAGCAGGGATATATGAACTGCTAGTTAGATGCAGGCCAATAGAGAGTGATAAGTCACTGCTGTCACTTATATCAGAGGAAAAAACCCCATGAATCTGTCTTCTAATGTATATGCATTTTCCCCAAAAATATTAAAAGTACAACCAGTGAATTTTTTTATTGGAACTTATTACATTCAAAACAATTTATTATTTAACTAACTTTGTGGGATCTGCTCCTTTAAAGTAGGCATTAACAGACTCAGTAAGGGCTACTGCAACAGGCACGGTATCCTGGTTTCCAAGTCTGACAGGGCTGGGACCACGTGAAACACCTAGAATACATACAGTGTATAGATTTAATTTTCAAAAAGCTTAGCAATAGATTTCATAATGGTTGACTACACCTGTTATTTTTACAAGGGGTTACCACCATCATGATCACAGCAGAGTCTGAAATATTACTTGAAAAGCATGTAGAAAAATATAAACATAGTATAGCACAATCACACCATCAAAACATTGCTTAGCAGCCTAGAAAAACAGGACTATCAATATGACATTTTGTAAATAGACAGACACAAGGAAATACATATGAGACAGAGGAACACTGCATTAAAATGGCTACTGATGAAACTGAAGTCAACAGATCCAAAGAAAATTACATGTTAACTACAATACTTTAAAAAAAGTCCCCACTGTATACTTATAGTATGGAAAAATGTATGATAAAAATAGTCACAGAAATGCAAAGAATTCAGTTGGGTTACATATGAACATAAATGGAGATACATTAATATTACTCCACATAAGTGAACTGTTGAACATTCTTTTAACTATTTCAGCCAACAAAGATTACAATTCCCAAGTAGAAATTGTTGGAGAAGTATTTTGCAAAGTTTTTCATAGTAAACATTCTGGGAGTACCTTGGAGGTACCTGGAAATACATATCAGTTTACAAGAAAAATAATTACCAGACCTGTGTCAGCCTTCACAGATGTCTGTGCCTACACAACAAAGTTGCAATGCATAGCTATAAAAAATAACTCAGACCTCAGCTAAGGCTTTTTTAAATGATTGAAGTATCAATTGCAAATTGACAAAACCAGTTGTCATGGGATTTTACTTTTCAGTAGTGTTTTATATGTGTACTGAATATAAAAGACAATACTTGAAGTTCTATCTTTTAGTGCAATAGTGTAGTTGAGAGCATCTTACTAATTTTTTTGTACCACTGGTAAAACAGCCTGTATCACATGCCTGCTGCAAGCTCTCAGAAGGACAGGATGTCACAGAGCTGTGCCAAGGCAGACTCATGGTATCTCAGGCTGCAGTCCAGCTCACAGGTCCAGTTCTAGGACCTTCAGTAGCACCAGCAAAAAACCTAAGTATTTCAAGTAAAAATGCATGTTATAGATGTTAAACAATTTAATAAATAAAAAAACCCATTGCAAATGAAAACAAGGCTAAAGAAGAAAAGAAATTCAATTATGCATGTCTACAAGTTCATTTGGAACAAGATAATTATAGTTAACTCTCCATTATTCAGAACAAATGGGGTAAGGGAAACACTGGATTGTGCGAAAGCCAAAAGAGTACAGACAGTAATGCAGAGTATATCCTCATGTCCCAAAATCATTCAGCCATCTGCGCTGCCCTTTCCAGCTCTCCAGAACTATTTCATTCATACAATCAGTGCAGGTGAGACTGGCCTTGTTTATTTTTCCTAGGCCAGGTTAATAACCATGTCAAACTCTGGTGTCAGCGCACACCTCCTTACCTCCTCCTTCACCTCACAATTTCGCTCTGTCACTGTCTCCAATAACACACATAGAGCTGAGGCTATTGATGCTGCTGCCACCAATTTCTAGTTCCTTGACACCACTGCTGAGGCCTGAGGAGGTGAGCCTGGATGGACTCTGGCAACCAAAATATCAGTTATCTTTCTATGATGCTTCTCAGCATTTGAGAAACTGGTGGACACTGAACTGTGCCAGCATTTCAACAGCTAAGGCTAGGCAGACTTTACTAGCTTTGGTCCTGCACAGGGTGGAAACAGCTGCATTGCTTTCAATGCAGAACTCCTGATAGAAGCTGTGCAGATGCTCTTCTGAGGTTCTGAGCCTGGGTGAGGAATCCTTGACATCAGTAACATTCATAACTGAGTGTTAATTCAAGAGTCTGATTTAACTTGGGACTAAAGTGGTAATAGTATTCAGGATTGCAGTACTTCAAATCTACTACAGAAACAAGTTAAAATGTCTTTAAAAACTCACCCACAAATAATCCCCCTCTCCCATCCCACAAGTCTCCTTGTATTTTTTCTGAAATTAGTGGCAGCACAGGAAGACTGATTTGCTTTTCATCTTCATCTTTATTGTTTGGTTGGTTGTTTTGCTTTTACTAAACACCTCTGTTTAGTTTATATACTTCACTAACTTGAAGAAAAAGGTGCATTAGTTTCACATTTTTGGAAACTGCAATTACAGGATAAACAAAATAAAAATAGCATAAAAATAACTCAATTTTGTGAACATTTATATTAATTCCAATTTATCAGTATCCCAAAATACTTCTGTACATATACAATAATATCTTCTGAACAAATATATAACATTGTGCTTGATAGACAGCACACCAAATACAAATTAATGGAATATTTTAATTTTGAAAAATATTTCACTTAAGAACATGCCATAATTGGATCTATGGTCTAATCTAGTCAAATCCACCGTCCTGTCTCTCAGGTCATTTAGAAGCAGGTATTGCAAAGAATGCTTGAAGTACCTAGACCGAACTCACATATGGAACAACCAACTCCAAGGAATGGTTTTCCTAACAAGTGGAACTCAGTGGCAGAATGTTACCATTTCTAAAATGAATTAAAATGGTTAACTTACCAACTATAGGTGTGTTTGCTGTACTGAGGGAAACAGAAGAGGATATTGAGGAAATGCTCTCTGCATGTGCCAAGGGAGTTGCATGTGGTGGACTTGAGTTAGAGGTCAATGGAGGGCTGAATGGCCTAGGCTTAACACAAGAGATTGCAAGAGTATTACAGAGACAGAAAGTGGTTTTAAAGAGATGAAAAAAGACTGTAAATAGTTCTTCATTTCATTCTCAAATCAATTTAATAGTGTTTCTAAACATCTTTCTTTGAATGCTTTATCTATTCTAGCTTTAATGTAAAACAGAGAACCCACATTTTCTATGGGAATCAATCCCATTATTTCAGAGTTTACCATTATTAATTTTTTTTGCCTGGCTAGGTAAGTCTAATGTATTTGATTATGTAACAGTCTGTCAATAATTGTGCTGTAACACAGTAGCAAAGCCTAACCCTATAGCCATGTATATACGTGCAGCAAATGTGGACTTCCGGAGCTAAAGGAGAGATACTAACAAAATGGAAGTGAGTCCAGCAGAGGGCAACTAAAATAGTTGAGAACTGGAGGACATGAGAGAGAGGGAGAGGCTGAAGGACTTGGGTTTATTCATCCTGGAGAAGAGAAGCCTAAGAAGAGATGTACTAGCAGTCTTTCACTAGCTACAAAGAAGATGAAGCCAGGCTCTATTCAGAGGTGCAAGAGCTATAAGAAAGGAAATTTCAGCTGAATATAGGGAAGAAATTCCTTCTTGCAACCTTGTGGTTAAGCCCTGGGACAGGTTGCCCAAAGATGTTGAGAGATCTCCTTCTCTGAAGATTTTCAAAACTCAGCATGTCTCTAAGCAACCTGAAGCAATTTTGAACTTAGTCCTTCTCTGAGCAGGAGATTGGTCTAGAGGAGATCTTCATAAGTCCCTTCCACCCTAAATCTGTGGATAGTTTTATGACCCATTTAACTGTTAAGGTATTAATTTAAAATAACTAATGAACAATTTGGGATAATCCTATCTAAAAGGTACTGGAACTCCTGAAGCATCTGTTTTGGTTGGGTAATTTTTATTTTTTTTGGTTCTATCACACTTGTCACTGAGTATATGACTTTTATATGGATTGTGGGAATTGTAAAAGGAGACGACATATAATGAAGACAACTCGCAATCTTCCACTTACATCCAGATAATAGCCAATTTCTAAAACATGTAACTTTTCGCAGAATCATACTTTATAGAACAAACATACTTTATAGAACAATATGTCCTAGTTAGAACAGCTGGGACCAATTCATCACTGGATGGGTGTAACCCAAACCTGTGTATTCTATAGCCTTCCATGCCATTTCCCAGAAACTGTTATCAATAGAGCATTTACACCCTCTGCCCAGAGCAGCCTGACTCCTCAGGCGATAAACAAGGCGTTAAGAGGCTGGAATTCCCTGCCCTGAGGGAAGGACTGAGCATTCCTGCCTGAACTGGAGAATATATAAACTTGGAGTTTTGGAACCTTTTTACCACTCGTGGGATCCAGAGGAAGACTGCAGCTCACCACTCTCAACCAGACTGCAGTTCACCGCTCTCAACCAGACTGAGACCACCACCCTCAACTGGACTGCAATCACCACTTTTGACCAGATTGCAACAACTCTCCCACCAGCAGGTTTTTCCCCTCTCCCTTCACTTTGGACTCGGGGGGGGGCCAAGGAACACCACTTTGTTCATGCCCCAGGGTGCTGGGTTATACATCTGGATTTTGTGGGTTAAAACCAATTGTTTGTCTGTATAATCGTACTTATTGCATTATTTTATTAAATTGTTATTCTGACTTATAATCTCTCTTTTGAGTTGAGTTCATTTCCCCTGCTGATTAACTTTTAAACCAGCACACAATACTAGCTAAATTCTTCTCTTTAATTCTGATGATATCAAGAACAGATTTCTTGGTCTAAGAGAAATTACTACAATTTTATATTGGAATGAGAAAATAATCTCCAAATGAACCCTACTCTGACCTTATACCATTACAGAAAAGCAAAGGAGTTAAACAATGTTTCAGTTTTGTTAAAGCATAAGACCAGATTTTTTTTTCCATAACGAGAATATGGTGAAAGTATCTTGCTACTTTGAAAGACAATAAGAGGATTTTACTACAGTAAAATTTTTCCAAGTCAGTAAGTCAAATGAAACCCAAAGAATCATAATATTCATAGAAGACATTAAGCATGGCTTGGCCTGATATGCTGTCTGGGTATTTGCATTCTTTGCCACATTCCTTATCAGCATGTGGACCTGCACTGCAAGCAGTGAGCAGAGATGGAAGCTGCAATGCCACCTATCACTGTCCGGATGGGCAGCTGCTAAAATCTGCCACCTCCCTTCTCCACCAACCAGCACCAAGGGCAGGGTGAAGTCATAGCAGAGCTACTTGTATCAAAATATGACTGATAAAGATCTACCTAATAACACTCATTCCCCAAAGCTTTGGTGATATCCCTAAATCAACTGAGTTTTGTTAATTATTTCACTAATATTTCATATTTTGAAAATTTTAATCCTACACATATGCTAACCTTTAATTTTCAATATATTGATTTGTTCAATTAAAAACATTCAGTTGATGCAAAATTTATGTTTTGGACCTTTTTAGTTCAGTTAAGAATTATTTTGTTATAGTAACATGTTTATCATTAACAACTTCATGCCTATCCAGCAATAGTGAAAATCTGAGTATGTGATTCCCTGAACATTGTCTAGAAAGTAACTCCACTGTAACAGTGTGTAGTGGTTTAACCCCAGCTGGCAACTAAGTATCACACAGCTGTTCCCTCACCTCCTCTGTCCCCAGTGGGGAGGAGAATCAGAAAGGAAAGGTAAGCCTCATGGGTTGAGATAAGATTTTATCAGGTTTGTGTGACAAGGTTTTAGTAGTGGGGGGGCTACAGGGGTAGCTTCTGGTGAGAAGCTGCTGAAAGCTTCCCCCATGTCTGACAGAGACAATGTCAGCCAGATGCAAGACGGACCCACCTCCGGCCAAGGTCGAGCCAATCAGAGATGGTAGCAACACCTCTGTAATAACATATTTAAGAAGGGAAAAAGTTATTGCGCAGAAGAAAATTGCAGCCAGAGAAGAGTGAGAATACGTGAGAGAAACAACTCTGCAGATACCAAGGTCAGTGAAGAAAGAGGGGGAGGAGGTGCTCCAGGTACTGGAGCTGAGATTCCCCTGCAGCCTGTGGTACAGACCATGGTGAAGCAGGTTGTCCCCCTGCAGTCCATGGTGGAGCAGAGATCCACCTGCAGCCCACAGAGGACCCCAGGCCAAAGCAGGTAGATGCCAGAAGGAAGTTGTGACCCCATGGGAAGCTCGGACTGGAGCAGGCTCCTGGCAGGACCTGTGGTCACATGGAGAGAAGGAGTCCATGCTGGAGCAGCTTTGCTGGCAGGACTTGTGACACTGTGGAGGACCCATGCTGGAGCAGCCTGTTCCTGAACGACTGCATCCTGTGGAAAGGGACCCATGCTGGAGCAGGGGAAGGAATCCTCCCCCTGAGGAGGAAGGAGAGGCAGAAACAACATGTGATGACCTAACCGTAACCCCCATTACCTGTCCCCTTGTGCTGCTGGGGGGGAGGAGTTAGAGATTCAGGAATAAAGTTAAACCTGGGGAGGAGGGAGGGGTGGGGAGGTGGTTTTAATATTTGTTTTACTTATTATCCTGCTCTGATTTGATTGCTAATACATTCAATTACTTTCCCAAAGTCGAGTCTGTTTTGCCCGTGATGGTAATTGGTGAGTGATCTCTCCCTGTCTCTATCTCAGCTCATGAACCTTTCATTATATTTTCTCTCCCCTGTCCAGTTAAGGAGGGGAGTGATAGAGCGGCTTTGGTGGGCACCTGGCATCCAGCCAAAGTCAATCCACCACAAAGAACAATTTAATAATTGAAACAAACAAACAAAAAGATAAAAACAAAATAATAATGGTAAGACGGGAGGAGAGAGAGAGTCAGAGAGAGTAACAGAAGCCAAGAGAAACAAGTTATGCACAGTACAGTTGCTCACCACCCACTGACTGATGCCCAGCCCATCCCCAAGCAGTGATTGGCCCCTACCAGCTAACTCCCCCCAGTTTATATACTGGGCATGACATTCTATGGTGAGAAATATCCCTTTGGCCAGTTCGGGTCACCTATCCCGGCTATGCTCCCTCCCAGCTTCTTGTGCAGCTCCTCACTGGAAGAACATGAGACACTGAAAAGCCCTTGACTCAGTGTAAGCACTGCTCAGCAAAAACCAAAACATCAGTGTGTGTAACAACCAGATAATATAGAAATGCCAAAAATTATGTTTTGCCATTGTTTCTGCCTGTCAAAACTTCCTACCAAAAATTCTCTGTCAGCTTTCTGCCAGAAGTTCTCACCAGAGCTTCCTGCTGGAGTTTTCCTGCCAAAAGATCCTGCTATTGTTTAGGTTATCGTATCTCTTCAAACATCTGAATAGGGCTACGTGCCAGGAAACCACGTACAAACTCCTTTGAACACTATAAAAGTTGAGGAAAAATTTTGGAAAATCAGGGAGAGGAAAGGGAGAGAGAACTCTTTACCGTAGCCGAGAATCTCTCCCCACCTCCCCCTCACCTCTTCTCTGTCACCACATGCTGCCTGCCTGCTACCAGAGACTGAAACTCTGCAGGCCTGGAGAGAACTGAGACCCACCGTGCCACATGTGTGAGTTACATCTTATCCTTCTACCCTTACCATATTTCTGACGGCTGAAAGGTGCTGCTGAATCGGGACCCTGCACGGCTTGGGAAACGGTTCAACGTGAGCAGTGAAGCCACACATCCTGGCTGCATTCCAGAGAACTAAAACTGCTAAGACACCCCTCCACACCCCCCCCCCCTTTCCCCCGCAGCTAAAGAGATAACATCGAAAAGCGGCAGAGACAGAGAAAAAAAAGGCAGAAACTGCTTCTCCCCGCCCACACCAGCTCGGTGGAAAGGTAGTTTTGGTGGTAACTTTCCTATGCTTCTAGAAGTAGTCTTAGCTTTTTCCAACCTTTTCTTATTTTTTCCTCCATCTCTGCATCTCTTAGCAATTAATAAAATCAGTTTTTGGTATCAACAGATAACTTGCGTGAGTTTTAATTTTGCTCAGGGGAATATTCGAATCTGAAGTTCTTTCTGCAACATTTAAGCAGATTGTAACAGTGTATTATCAGCATTATTCTCCTATGGAATCCAAAACACAGCACCGTGCCAGCTACTGAGAAGAAAATGAACTCTGATCCCAGTTGAAACTAGGACACCATGCAAATTATATATCTGAAATTGAGTACAATGGAGAATTAAAAAACCCAACAATCAATACATACTATTTCATTAATTCCACTAAATTTCCCTGTAGACAATTTTGGTGATGAAGCAGGCCTTGGAGGGGGGACAATGGTGCCTACAGAAAGACGATTTGTGGGTCTTGCTGAAAGAAAGCAAATTTAAGAAAATCAATATTAGAAAGATCACATAAATATGTACTCACTTGAACAGAATAACTGGAAATTCTATTAAAAGTTCCTATTTTACAAGCTCCATTTTGTAAAATTTACCACTAATCATAAATGTTTTTAAAATAGGGTCATGTGATACCCTGAAAAGTGACTCTAAAAATGGCATCATGAGCTTTTTCATTCCTCTTGAATGATTTTAAACCAACTATTCTCAGAGGTTTGAGTGTACAAAGATGGTTTTACCCAAGTTCCCTTTTGTGTATAGTCTATATGGATTCAGAATACAGGACAGTCTTTCATGTCTAACCACAAATGGATAATTCAGTGGGAAAGGCATATAGTGCTTTCAGAAAACTCCATAAAAGAGTTTGGCGAAATAAACACCTGAAGAAAAGTACAAAGATCAGTGTTTACAGAGCCATTGTGCTGTCTACTCTTTCATATGGATCCGAATCATGGGTCATCTACCGTCACCACCTGCAACTCTTAGAACACTTCCATCAATGTTGTCTCCATACAATCCTAAACATCCACTGGTCAGATTACGTGACCAACACATCTGCTCTTGAACAAGCAGCAGTCACAAGTATTGAGGCCACGTTACTGAGAACACAGCTGCGTTGGGCAGGACACGTCTCAAGGATGAAGGACCACCGCCTCCCTAAGATCCTGCTTTATGGTGAACTTGCCAACAGCTGCTGCAAAAGAGGAGCCCCAAAGAGAAGATACAAGGACTCCCTGAAACAACATCTCAGCCTTGGCCATATTGATCAATATAACTGGTCTACTCTGGCCTCCAATCAGGAGGTCTGGAGACACACTATCTTTAACGCTGCTGATGCTTTGAGAACGCATGCAGGATCACTCTCGAGGAGAAAAGACAACGCAGAAAGAATCGTGTCTTGCTGATACCACCCAAGTCCTTCTGCTGTGCCTTTTGCAACTGGTCTTGTCTATCTCGTGTTGGCCTTTTTAGCCACCAGCGCGCTTGTAGCAAATGTGGGTAGAGCCCTTCCCAAATCTTCGTTTGCGAAGCCTAGCCATGATGATGAATTCAGTGGAAAGTTATATTTGATTCTGGCTGACAATAGCATAACTGTTTACATCAAATTATACCCTCTGAAATCCCACTGACTTCAATAAGTATACACCAGCATAACACATAAATTACTCTGTTGATTGCAGGAACACAGTAACTCCATATTATCTCTTAACCAAGATATGAGAAGTAAAAAGCAGTAAAAAAAATACTGCCCTCGTATCCTTCTAAACCTAACAGACACAACTAACAGATAGTGGCAACAGTACAAAGATGCTATTTTACATAGTTACTTTTCCAAATTGAACTGTACTTCAAAATAAATGTTAGATGCCAGTAAACGAGTATGACAGATCTAAAATTAACTTCAAAATAGACTGAAACCCTAATATATGACTATGTTGTTGGAGCACATCCTATCATCTCCCTCAAATTATTCTGGATGGTTCTTCTTTAATCAAATCAGTTAATTTTATTTAAAAATATAACTTTTAAGTATGGAATTTTCTCAGGAATTCAGCATAACTCTACCATAATTCAAGTACTGGAGTTTCAACACTTACTTGGAAAGAAACAAATTAGGCTAATACTGACCACATCCACCTAAAGAGATGCAAACTCAAATGTTCCCAAGTAAATTCACTTCTGAAACATCAGTCATTCCTTTAAAATTCTTCTTATGCCCAGGAAGACAGTGCATGCTAAACATTAAGTAGTCTGCTGCAGTATCACAGGTATTTAGTGAGTTATGGTCCACTTGCCCAAATGCACTTTTCCTTTGCCCTATAAGCATGTAGCATTACCACAATATCATCCACACTTCAAAATGCTGGGTGTTAAAAAGGAATAGTTTCAAATCCAAATTATTTAACTTTATTCAATCTGAAAACATCTATACATTCCTATTTCTACAGAAGCAAAGCTCTCAACAGTTGAGAAAAAAGAATGCTTTTAATTAGTTTGAATTTTTTTTATTTCAAGCAGTATATTTATTTCATTGTCCTTACTTTAAATGAAGTTGGTGCTAACAAGCAGTTTAGTACATTCTAAGTAAGAATCATGGAATCGTTTAGGTTGAAAAAGACCTCCAAGATCATCAAGTCCACCACTTAACCATGTCCCCAAGTGCCACATCTACACGATTTTTAAATCCCTCCAGGAATGATGACTCCACCACTGCCCGGAGCAACCTGTTCCAATGCTTGACAACCCTTTCAGTGAAGAAATTTTTCCTAATATCCAACCTAAACATCCTCTGGTGCAACTTGAGGTCATTTCCTCTTGTCCTGTCACTTGTTACCTGGGAGAAGAGACAAACCCCCTCTATGGACCCTTCCTACCCTCCAGCAGGTCAACGCTCCTGCCCAACTTGGTGTTGTCTGCGAACTTGCTGAGGGCACACTTGGTCCCCTTGTCCAAATCATTGATAAGGATATTAAACAGAACTGGCCCCAATACCAAGCCCTGGGGAACCCCACTTGTGACTGGCCACCATCTGGATGTAGCACCATTCACCATCAGCAAAGAATGCACCTGTCCAAGACATGGGTTGCAGCTTCTCCAGGAGAATTCTGTGGTAAACACTGTCAAAGGCTTTACTGAAGGCCAGATAGACAACATCCACAGCCTTTCCCTCATGCACTAAGCAGATCACCTTCCCTTAGAAGGAGATCAGGTTAGTCAAGCAGGTCCTGCCTTTCCTAAACCCATGCTGGCTGGGCCTGATCCCCTGGTTGTCCTGCATGTGCCACATGATGGCACCCAATATGATCTGCTCCATAACCTTCCCTGGCACCGAGGTCAGACTGACTGGCCTGTAGTTTCCCGGATCCTCCTTCTGTCCCCTCTTTAGATGGGCATCACATTTGCTAACTTCCAATCAACTGGCACCTCTCCAGTTGACCAGAACTGCTCATAAATGTTTGAAAGTAGCTCAGTGAGCTCTTCTGCCAGCTCCCTCTACCCTTGGGTAGATCTCATCTGGTCCCATAGACTTATGTGGGTCTAAGTGGCATAGCAGTTCACTGACCGTATCCCCATGGATTATGGGGGCTGTCTCTGTCTTCCAGCTCTGGGCTCTGGGTACCCTGAGAACAACTGGTCTTGTAATTAAATATATATATATGTATATATAAAATTTATCCTTAAATATGTTACAAATGTGGATCCAGTAGCCATCTTATCTGGATATCTAATTGAGAAAGAGACAATGTAACGAATTCTGTAAGCTAGATTTGTTATAAAACATAACTTTTAAGGAATATGAAGTGGAGGAATAATAAGTTGCACTTAAAACCCTAATGGTTACTTAGCAATGTTGGTTGCTACTAAGAGGACATGACTAAAGCCAAAAAGAATTAGCACTAGTTGAACAAAATTCTCCTATTGATATATGTATTCTTTCTCACTCATCTTCAATTTGTATGAGCAGGTACAGATGAAAACAGAAAGCCATGATTGTGAACAAAATAGTAAGGTCTATAATAATTTTTGGAAAAGGAATACCCAGCTAAAAGAAACAATAACCACTTCCTTTCTCAGGCACATGGGAGGAGAAGAGTCTCTGCATTAAGAGAGTAGGGGTTGGAAAATAGACATACAGTGGGCAGACTGAAGAGAACTATGAAACAGAGTATCTGCTACTGTTACTAAATAGTAGATTCCACCTTAAATCCCCTGAGATAATCAACATAAATAATTTAAGTGAATACTTTTAGTAAGCAGGTCTTAACATAGCACTAATATCTGTTTTTGTTTTGGTATCTCCTTCCTCTTTCTGAACTAGTTTCTCAACATCTCCAGCTCTCAGTCTCTTCAACACAGTCTTAAGATGCTCCAGGGGAGGTTTAGGTTAGACATTAGGAAGAAGCTCTTTACAGAGAGAATGATTTGGCATTGGAATGGGCTGCCCAGGGAGGTGGTGGAGTCACCATCCCTGAAGGTATTTAAGAAGAGACTGGATGTGGCACTTAGTGCCATGGTCTAGTAGACAAGGTGGTGTTAGGTCAAAGGTTGGACTTGATGATCTCAGAGGTCTTTTCCAACCTAGTCGATTCTGTGATTCTGTGAACACACAGAGCCACTTACGTGCTATTTTGCCTCCCTCTCCCTTACTGCCTTTTGAATGCAAAAATCAATATTACCTGTTTCTGTAAACATCCCCCCCCCTTCAAGACCAAGTTTCAGGAAAGCCTGTCAGTATCCTGCCCACACTAATATACTCCAAACTCCTGTGCCCAAAATTCACAAACACAGTTTCAGCCCCTTCCCCTCCACCTCCCATACTCCTCAGTCCACCCTCTTCCTCCCAATACACCTACTCTCAGGTGGTGCCAGGAATTCCCCCTTAATTCCAGACTCAGTCCTGCCATTTTTCTCCCACCCACACATCTAACAGATTCATGGTTTCCTACAGGAAACAAGTTCCTCACAGCAAAGCTCCACAGTGGCTTTGTGCTGATACCTCAACAGGCTTTCCTGGAAAGAAGAAACCTACCCCTATTCACAGTGCCAGTTCAGCATCTCTCAGGTGCTGTGACAACCTCCACTTAATTTACCAACTTTGTAAAAATAGGATTCTATTCTTCCTCCAGCATAGATGATCATTTTTTGTAATGAGAGAAAAAAAGACAAAAGCAAGATAGAATTTTCCTAAGGTTTCTAGTGTTCCCTCTTCCCCCTTGCTCCCTAACTTGAAAGCCTGACATACTGCACTCCAAGTTGTGTATTACTCATAACATAGGATACTGCTTTACAAAATTCTTTCATTTCAATAGTCAAAGCACATCTCCTTGCAATGACTAAAAAAGCAACAACAGAACATCCTGAAGAATATGCAGAAAACATTTTCTACTATCAAATATTTTACCTGAGGAGGATGAGGATACCATGGGGCCTGAAGAGGAAGATTCAAGAGAACTGCTTAAGAGTGGATTCCATGCCAGAAGGTCACTGTTTCCCTTTCTATAGTAAGCATTGCAATTAGAATATTAATGAAAGATGTATATACTCATAAAAATACAATTACAACTTTGGCAAATCATCTTCTGTATTAGCCTTTGCATCTCAAAATTAATAGTACTTACAAATTGCAGGTCAAGGAAATGATTTACACGTAAGGAAACTATCTGAACTGATAATCAGTGCAAGTTTGTGTGTGGACATATTTTGTAATGTCAGTAAATTATTTTCATTTTCAACAAGACATGCATCTACAAATCAATTTGTTTCAGTATATACATATATGAGCAATGCCCAAATTTGAGACTTGTAATCCTAAACACTTGACAATGGAACACTGTAAATATGATGGAAACTAAATCCCTCTTATTGAAAATATGAAATTTTAATAAAAACTAATATTTTGTAATCCCGTAATTATAAATATGAATGAAGCAAACACATTAGAAGGGGAAAACAAGTGAATAAAAATTTCCATTGTTACATAATTACTCATTAACTCTTACAATACAATGAACACCTGATTTAAAATAGCAGTCAACTGATATTTCCAATAAGTCTCAGAGTCTTAGATTAAAATAAGACCAAATTCCCCCAAAACTACACTTGATATAATTTTAAAAGTTGAACTTACTCATTAGCTGGAGTAGAAAGCTTTAATTTTGTTAACTCTTCACCTAAGGAAAAGACACAGCATTATCACCACTAAAATAAAAATCTTTTAGCTTCATTATAAAAAGATAGTAAATGTTAATAGTCACAGTTCAAAACTAATTATGAATTATTAAAATGGAAAAGAGAAAATGCATTATCTCTGATGATATAAATTCAGATGCTCCTGAAATACCTTCTAAAAGGAGAGGACTAAACAGAGCAACACATTTCAGGAGGAAGTGTTGATCACTTGAAATTTCTTCCTTAAATTACACTGTTTGCATCAATATTATTCTTCAGGAAAACTGGATTGGTTTCCCACTGAGAAAAACACTAGAGACTAATGCTCTGTCCTCTATCTCCATGGCCATATTTTATGGTTTTGACTATATAACAGAGAGAGTGCTCTGCTGTTTTGTGGGTGATACTCAACTTGTGCAGGTGGAAGGGTTTTAACAACTTACACAAGAGTAATTTCTACAGATATCCCCCCTCCCCCCTCTTTGGCTCTTGGACTTGTTCCTCATCACTGTCACAGACAGACTCATCTGTTTCTTAGAACAGGGAACAGCTGAGTATACAGAAAAAGAAGAGGTCTTTGGGTGGCTTCTACTAGCTACTTTGAAATTTTGACCAAATAACTTATTTTGTCTGTTGAATTTGTTAGTAGTTCAAATGCAAATATCATAAACGTACCTAGAATTGACAAGAGAAATACTTTTTCTACTTAAAATAGAAATAATAAGTTTATTTCTTCAACAATCACTAAAAAAATATTTTCATATCATGTTAAAAAAACTAATGTAAATAGACTAAAAGCTAAATAGTCACACTTACTGGATGCATTTTGATTAGTTTGTGCCTGAAACAGAAAAGAATAAATTCTATTGCCAACTGTCAAATAAAACACTTAATAGTCCCAGAGTTCTTATTTCCATTCAGCTTTCCATATGTTATTTTGCTTTGAATGCCAGGCAGACCATTTTGGAGCTTGCAGGAGACCAGAACATGAGCCAGGACAGAGCAACTAGTGCATACCCACAACACCAGTTAGAAAAGGCAGGAATGAAGACTGCAGAGCTGACAAAGGCGACAGTACGACTAAACCCCTTGACAGGTTGGGCCAGTAAAATTAAACAGCTTTTATATCACATAGTATGCTTGAGAGGTAAGAATAGAAACATTCCTAAGTTTTTCCCAATAACTTTCTCACATATTACCCTTGGTGTTAATCTAAAAATGTGAATAAAAAGCCATTCTGTACTTACAGAACTCTGTTTCTGCTTTCATAATGTGGGGGGGAAAAAGAGAAAAATAATCATTATTATTTTAATATGCATAATATTTTCCTTAAAATCAGGACCATTTATATTGTGATGTGAATAATGTACTAGCATACTTTAACACTATTTATTTGCAATATCATCCCACAGTATAAAGGATCATTCTGTAGTTTGACAAAATACATACAATAAAGTTGCACTGTAAAAGTTATATGTATCCACATTATATGATCTGTTTTTAAGGTTTGTATATTATTGAATACAAATTAGTAAACTGTGTTAAAAGCTATGCTCAACTAACTTCATATGTATTCAAATGTCTTGTGGTAGCAATAGCAAAGACAAGGACTAAGCACTCCCAAGACTCAAAGTAAAGTTAAAATCTGAGAAGGGGGAATTGCTTAACATCAAATTGCAATAAAGTGTATCAAAGATGACATAGTGCACAAAAAAAATCCTTGAACTTGAATCTATAATAAATTCTGAACAGTAAAATATATGTAACACTAAAGATTCCTTACCACTTTTCTTCTATACTCATTAAAAATACAAGGAACAAAAATACTTACAGATATTGCTGGAGAAAGAGCAATGTTCCCTATAGATACTTTTAATTCATCCAAAGAAGGCATGGTATATTGAGAGCTATCATTTGTTTGGACAGGTTTTATTTCTACATGGAACCTCCTGGGTTCATCATCTTCAGAGTCAGAATCACTGGATGAATAGAAATGGTTCTTTTTGGTATGTTTTTCTTAGTTAAGGTAGAAGTACTTCAAATTCATCTGTCTACTGTGTTTCACAATTACTCTCTACAAAATGGTCATATTAAGTAAACATCACAGATAAACAATGCTGCCTAAGCTCTTTGTACACTTATACAGACACTTCTATTGTATCCACTGTTCAAAATTCACAACTCAAAATTTAGTTTTTATAATCCATTCATCTTCATAATGGTATTCTGTTATCCAAGGCACAATATTATCTAACTGAATGACTGTATATTTGAAAGTATTAGGATAAATGATTATACAGTAGCAACACTTGTGTATGTTAAATTTATGATTTGCAAGATTCAATGAAGGATCATAATGCATGTATGAAAAATGTATGCATCGTAAAAATCCTTTTAAACCAAGTGAGGGGAAGTCCTAGCCTTTCTAATTAGCAATGAAATGCTCATGGCACTTGTACCAAGCTTAACAGTAGAGGAAGCAGCATCCACCATTACTTGCTCTTCTTACAGAGGCACTGAAAATTTTGCAGCTAAGGATGCCAGTTACACAGAAGGCTGCACAGTAAACTAAACCCCACCAGTCACTTAAAGCACTGTCATCCTTGGATAAAAAGGAATCACAATGACAATTCAACCCTCAAAATAAGCAAAAGATACAGATGAATTTAGCCTTGGTCCTTTATGTGCACAGCAACCGCACTCAACAAAAGCTCTGAAATGCCTATGCTGTCTTAAAAGATGCAGCTGTTTTGACAAGAAACAAGTTGAAATTTTTCCTCTGCTGAAACAGAAGTATCTTGCCACCTAGGGGGAGCATGCATATTCTATACCTCACTTCTGTTATTTTCACTTGGAAATATGCCAGCCATTAGAACAAAATCCCTTCAAAATACTCCCTGACAAAGATTAAACCCCTGAACCCTAAAGACATTCCAAATCCAATTCAACTGAAAGAAACCCTGAGATGTGGTAAGGAAAAAGTCAAATGTCTTCATCTTACAGGCTACCTGTCCCACAAAATGGATCACAACTGGAAAAGTAAATTTTAAAAGACAAGTAATTTTTCATTTCACCAAAAGATTTCTTGCCCTGAAAGCTATCACCAAGTTTCAAGATTCATTTCCTACGAATCAGGTAGCTCTGGCCACTGAGGTTTTAAGTATATTAAACAGTTACTGACAAAGATCAGTTTAGATCTGAATGCCATGAACTGAAAGGTCAGTCAGCAATTTTTAGGATGAGTGTTTTTTCAACACTTAAGACAGGTCTTATTAAGATTGACTGCCATTGTGGTAAAATAATGTCCTTCAACAAATCATCTCAAGAGTTCCCATCAGAAGAATAAATATCCACTCTTGGAGGCTAAGAGAGGAAAAGAGGAAGGAAACTGATGATTTTGTGAATCTGTTCAAGATTTTCAGAAACTGAAGTACTACCTGGCTGACAGGAATTGCAAACCACTGAGCTTTTTCACTGGATCTATGGCCTTTTCCATTGCTTTGTGACAAAAAGGGTACTGGATAAAGTAAATCGATACTAGATGATCAGTGTTTCCAGATATATACATATATATGTTTTATTTTAGAACAATTTGGTTGCAAAGGAAAACAGGTATGTAACTGTTTTGGTTGTTATTATCTATAGTTACACGGCAATATAAAAGCATAAATGTACTGCAAAGGAAAACAGGTATTTAGCCATTTTGGTTGTAATATAGCAATGTAAAAGCATAAAGATATCACCCAAGAAAATATGTAAGGGAAAAGAGAGAAAGAAAGAGAGAGAGAAAAGAATAAGAGTTAAAGGGAAAAGAGAGAAGGGAAGAGAGAGAAAAAGTAAGTGTTTATAGTCACCACTCAAAGGTCTCCAATGAACTTGGTTGCTGTTGTTGTCGCTGGTATCCTGGTCCATCAGTGAGTGGTGGGGGAAAGAAGCCCATGAATCATAAAATTTGATGGGTTTATATACCTTCAGAAACCCTCCTGGTGCCTCCCCGTGTGTGTGTGGTAGGGGCTGTTTTGATCACACACCCAGAGAGTCACTGCTGGTCTTCTTTAGATAGGCATCACACACCTAGAGAAGCAACACACCCCAAAGAGTTGCCCTCCGGGCCTTCAAAGTTAAGAATTTGTGGGCTATGGCCTCCTCCCCTCAGCCTTTATCTTTACTCTCCTGGCTTCTTTGCACAGCTCGTTATAGTAACAATGTTTTAAGGCAATTAAAAAAGTCCAGTTCCTCACAACCAATTATGTAAATAAGAGATAACATGAACTATTTTTGTCAGTACAGGAACCTTCACTGGGGGCAACAGAGGCATATTTGGCAAAAGTGATGAGAACAGAGAAGCTATGATGACCGGCCCACTTTAAGGTGCTCTCAACTGCTTAAAAGTTTTCACAATTTAAAGTAATTGCAAAGTGTAAGTTTAACTTTTATTTTACCTGTAGTGTGCTGAAAAATTGGTGAATACATTTCCAAAAATTATCTACCTTGCTAACATATTAGGCTTGCTTAGATCATCAACAGTTCTTCCTAGTTCTTAAGAAGAGCTTCCCTCTGTTTCTGATGGAAGAAAAAAAAGAGGACAAGAATCTTTTCCTTCAAAGGGAGAGTAGAGAAAATAATGAAATCCATTTAAAAAAAAAGACTAGTAACAAAAATCTGTTCAAAACTATCATTAAAAATACAATAAAAGCTATAAGCACCACTTAGAAACAGCATGATGCATCATTAATTAACAGAAATTCTATTTCTAGACTGCTGTGGCTTCCAATGCTTTTAATAGTGTTATTAAAAAGTGGGAAGGGCACAGACATAGAACAGAAAGCCATTTGGTATGCTTAAAAGTGTTTACAAATTATACTTTATAGAATCATAGAATCAGCTGGGTTGGATCATCAAGTCCAACCCTTGATCCACTACCGCCG